GAAGACCAAGGCGTAGGTGGGTGGACAATATTAAAATTGATCTTACAGAGATAGGATGGGATGGTATGGATTGGATTAGTCTGACTCAGGATAGGGACCAGTGGAGGGTTCTTGTGAACACGGAAATGAACCTTCGGGTCCCATAAAATGCTGGGAAGTGTTAAATAGTTGCACAATTGGCAGCTTCTCGAGCCCTACGTCGCCAAGGTGCATTTTCGTTTGGCCGAACAATCCTTTACAGGCACCTGACGTTCTTATTGACCTGCACTCCGTTCTTATCTGAGCCCATGCTCGATCTCGGTTATGTTCTTCACTATCTCCAACCTGACGACTTATCGCTGTGTCCCCATTCTCACACGCCCACTCAAAATAGCGATCTAATTGTCTCGTGTCGGAGCGTGGAGCTGGCGCATCTTGCACCGCTCCTTCCAGCCGTATCGCCTCTTCAGAAGAGAAACAAGTGCTTCCCGACCACGGAACAGAGTTCGTGCCCAGCTGACTGCGAAGTCCGTTCGAGGGAGGCGACCTCCACAGTCGCGCCTGTTGCACATTATGTCGATACAGACAGCTCAAATCAAATGGAACAAACGTTACACAAGAGTAACATCTTCTGAGACCTGACGCCGTGAATTCATCGACGGTTCACATGTCGTACTGCCTCCATATTAATGACTGAAGAATAAGAGCTAAAAATTTACCAAACCGAACGGCGTCTTCAGTAGACAAACACGCTACAATACAGCAGTATAAATATTATGTTCCAGGACATTATCCACTGTCCTGTCTTTATCAAAACCACAACGTTTCGGAGACTGGATTCTGTTTCCGTCTTCAGGTGTCTGCAGATAGGGATCGGCTCTATCGATTAGGCCCAACTTAGTAGGTTTTACCTGAATACTCGGTTCGAATCCGGTCGAGACACTGGCCATTCTGAGGTCGCAGACAAACGCTGGGATAGTCGGATTGGATCACGATGGATTTGCTCTATAAAACGTAAAGAAAGCTGAAATATCCCTGTAACAGGCAGTGGAGGCCCATAGGGTTGTGAGACGCTGAAGCACCCATATTTTCTAGACAGTAGGCTCACATTTGGCGGTGAGAACAGCCTTATGCGCCGGCCGGCCGCCCCTTACCCCCGAGAAGATTCCTGGTACTCATTTCTGCTAGAGGCTGAGTCGACCCCAGGGCCATATTGCGGCTGGAAGGATTAGATCAACTGAAAAGTCCTATGAACTCGTCAGGAATCGAAACCGCGACCTTCAGGCTTGTAGCGTAGTGCCTTAATCAACTACGCATTTTTCTATATGCTCTTTAATGTATCAGTCGGCCCACAATCCGACGCTAGCCCCACCGTGCCAAGGGAAATGCCAGTTCACTGCAGGAACATCAATCATCAATGGTTTAAAAATGTGATGTGCATTTTCAATATCCATCATCCATTGTCTTTCTATCGAGATAAGAAGCAGCAATTATACTGAAATTTCCCCATATTTAATCTGAAGCGACAATATCATGCAGGCCTCATGTTCAGATTGCCTCTAATACGAGTATATAAAACACTTATTGATAATGAAGAGGTTAAACCGATACAAATTTATTAAGTAGTTAGGAATATTTTAAACCTTTGAACTTATATTGCACCTGAAGAAGATACACGTCTTATAAGACGCAGACTTAGGTGGGAGGATATAATATTAAAATTGTTCTTAAGGAAACAGCTTTTGGATATTTTGACTGCGTTCAGAATAGGTCCCACTAGCGGACTCTTGTGAGCAAAATAATGAACATTCGGGTTCCATAAAAGGCTGGGAATTTCCCAAGTAGCTGAACAACTATTAGCTTGTCAAGGACTGTGCTTCACGAAGATAGTTAATTGGTTTAGCGATAACAACTTCTGTGTGCAGTAACAGATAATGTGGAGATGATACAGAGAAGCAGAGCAGGGAAGCTTGTAATTTTGTAGCACCTCCCTCGTCTCTTCCCTCCTTTGCGGTCTCGGTGTCTCAGATTGCACTGCATCGAACGGAACGATTGATAAATAATGAATCGGAAGAATCGAAGTATTATCCTGATATCTGTCTGGAGAAACTGAGAAAAACACAAACCATTTCAGCCAGGATAGCCAGTGTCTCTACCGAGATTCGCACCGAACACTTCCCGAAGTCAAGTCTAGAGCGTTACCGTCACACCACCTGCTCGGTCTTGTTAGCCTCACTCACGTAGGCCCATGTTTACTACTACAATTCGCCCTGTCAGCATTTCAGAATTGACCCTTTAACGAGCAGTGGTAACTAAACGCACCTTATGCTTCGATATTCAAAAACTTTACATTCTGCCCAGAGTGTGTCTGCGTGTTCGTGTGGTTCTCACAATAAACAGCGACTGTTTCCCCAAACAGCATTAACCGGTTGGGCTTTGTAGCGGAGAGGTAACGTGTTTCCTGTGAGGTACGGACTGAATCTCTATATTATTTGTGTGTTCCGTATTGTTCTCACAACAAACAGCGACTGTTTCCATAAACATCATTAACCGGTTGGGCTCTGTAGCGGAGACGTAATGCGTGTCCTGTGAGGTACAGACTGAATCTCTATATTATTTGTGTGTTCCGTATGGTTCTCACAATAAGCAGCGACGGTTTCCCTAAACAGCATTAACCGGTTGGTCTCTGTAGTGGTGACGCAACGTGTTTACTGTTAGGTACGGACTTGATTTTGTAATTATTTTGACCAATTTCGGGCTCGAGATTGTATGTACAGAGCATTCTAGCGGTCATTGTGTACATTATAGTAACCAGACTCGATTGCTCTGTCGATTTGTTCACTCTATGCTTAACAGCGACGTGGGGTAAACTGACGTTACGTAAGCAGAACTACAATGACGCAGAGAACACAATTACAATCACTGGAAAGCGAAGCACAAATATTTGTATTCGTCTTGAGAACGGGATAAATACTGGAATAATTGCGCAATGTAGTGGTGGGCTCTTGTGCAGGCCTAATTGAACATTGGGGACTCTATGACGGCGGAAAATTTATTCGACATCTGTATTACTATCAGCTTCTGAAGAAGTCAGTAATCGTGACCAGATATTCATTCAATGGCAGTGAGTAAACTTTACCGTCATCATTCTGTTCTTGGGGGGTTGGGGGGGCAGCTATTTTATGGCGCTGTGAATATCTTGACCAAAATGGGCAAGCCATTGTATTTATTCCGCTAATTAAAGGTGCTTGAAATATTGCGCTGACCTCCCTCCGGCCTAGCAAAGCCTGGTTCGGCTCTCCGACTGGTCTCGACGGTCTGCCCGGTCTGACTGTGCCGTCACGTGGTACGAGGACGGATCAAGTTGACAGGATTTGGAGGGATGAGGTTGTAGCCTAAACCAGTCACGAGTACTCTGCCGGAACCTGCCTGGAGAAGCTGAGGAAATCCACGAAAGAATAGTTCTATTAATGCTGCCGGAAACTGGCATAACGAAATAGCACCCAAGGTTCTGAGAAGTGTCTTTCAATGATCCACCAATCACAGATCAAGCTGGCTGAAGCAGTAACTCTCCTGAATTGTACTGAGAAGAGGCCCCTTTCGAATCTAGCCTGGGACACCTACTGATATGTTTTATCGTGGTTTTCGTCAGTCCCCCCAGCAGATGCTGGGATAGTACACGTATCTCAAGCCGAGAACACATCCGCTTCTCTGAGCATCCTTTCCAAATCAAAATTCACTAATTATCGTATTATTTGACGCTATGTAGCTAGGGGCTTGCTCCACCTCTGTCACGGGTTGGCCCGGTATTGCAGTACCTCCGGGATCGGCCCACATTAAAACCCCCTCGTTGGTGTCTCCACCTTATCGTGGTGAGGGGGTTTGAGTATGCCAAGGACCCTGAGAGCTATACCAGCGGTAGCGTAACTACTGGCAGGGCCTCCCTTGCTGGACAGGTCGAAGGGTAGGCATCAGACGAAGAGAGAGACCAAAAACCAAAAACTGATGCCGGAAGCAGCGTCATCAGCAGCGACTTGAAGCACAGAGCAAATGATGCTCTGTCGTCTGACAGAATACTGATGAATGAATGAATGTAGCCTGAGCTACAGACAGTGTGATATGTTGGGTTTTTGGACTTTATCCATCGTCCTGGTTTTTAAGATAACAAATAAAAAAACACGACGTTTCGGAAACTAGATCTGTTTCCGTCCTCAGGTGAAGGAAAACACTGGTCCAGTGATTGAGGCTAGCTCTTTCTAAGGGACCCAACTGAATAGGTGTTTTCCTTCACCTGAGGACGGAAACAGATCCAGTTTCCGAACGTCGTGTTTTTATTTGTTATCTTAAAAACCAGGACGATGGATAAAGTCCAAAAACCCAACATATCACACTGTCTGTAGCTCAGGCTACATTCATTCATTCATCAGTATTCTGTCAGACGACAGAGCATCATNAGACAGTGTCGTTAAACAAACAACATATAAACAGGTAGCTTAAATACGTATGTCTTTTAAAACGATATGGGCACGAGGTGGCGTAGTTGGTTGAGGCACTATACTTCAAGCCGGAAGGTGGCGGGTTGATTCCCGATGAGGTCATTGAATTTTTCAGTTGATCTAACACTTCCAGCCGCACTATGGCCGTGGGGTCGAGTCAACCTCTAACAGAAATGAGTACAAGCACGTCCCATATACAGAGTGTCACAGGAGGAATGTGCCAGACTTCGCGAGGGTGTTCCTTATGTTAAAGTATGCCGATATAAACCAAAATACCTAACATAAGGAACAACCTCCCGAAGTCTGGCACATTTCTCTTGGAACATCCTGTATATAGCAGTTCGTATGTCATTAGGTTACCACGATGCATACATCGGTGCGCACTGCAGTAACTCGTGTCAGAATCAATGAAACGTATGTCACTTTTGCGCGCACTTACACCCGAATCCTGGTCAGCGAGTTCTTCAAGCGTAGGTTTTGTTTCGTCAGTTTCCGCACTTGATAGCTTACAGGGTTCCGTTTCAAACGCCGGCCGCCGGTTACGTTCTGCTAAGTCCAGATATGGAAAGCTGAGACCAGGGACAGCCAGGGACAGAGCTGCCGTGTTTCCGAACTTGTGGGTAGCGCCGGTGGGTTGGGCGGTAAGTGAAGTTGCAACAGTAATAACACAAAACTTCTCGTGTATTCTAAGGGCAGGATTCTCATTAATACATAACTGTTGTCGTATCTCTTCTAACAGCAGCATACAGTTTTACATAATTATAATAATAAACGTACACTAAAACCTCAGTAATTCGGGGTCCATTTTTGCTTTTGCGTGTGTATTTCATTTACGCCGAACGCAGATATCTCCTGGATTTACTTCCAGGTTCTTCTCGACTTATATAAATATCAAAATACACATGCAGTGTCTAATTTGTACACAGAAAATATAATGTTATGTCTTTAAAATGACCCACATACATTTACGTATAATTATATTATATAATTCTGACTTTCCCCCTATCAGTCCGAATTGGTGAGGTTTTAGTTCAGTATCAAACAGTGTTACACTACTAAATTTCTTAAGAAATTCCATTAGTGACTAATATAATATTGAAATGTAGATAATGTTTCTTGGAAAGACAGAAGCTTTGTATTCAATATGACGGGGTTGTGGCTTTTTCACAAAATGGCAATTGGCACGCAAGACGTGAAAGATTGAGAGTGGCTCGCGTACCCACTTCGGTTGTTAAGACCCCGTTGCTATCGCTCGCGTCTAGGTTACCTGTCGAAAGGAATCTCGAAAGATAAAATGCAGTAATTTCCTTTATAATGTGTTGTGGCGGGGGGAACCAAGTATCTGCTCCACCCCCCCCCTCCGATTTCGGGGGAAAAATCAAATTTAAGGAAGAAGGAAATATCGAACATTAATAATAAAGGTAAAGATAAAGTTGTCCCTGTAGCAGGCCGTGAAGGCCCATAGGGTTGTGAGGCGCCGAGGCTTTCATATTTTCTAGACCAGCGATGGCCAACTGGCGGCCCGCGACTTGATTTACTCCGGCCCCCTGCCAAGTCTCAGGTTTATTTTCAAAAATCTTAAATTCACAGCTGTATTGGCATAGAATTCAGTTTTTAATAGGACGTTTCATTAGCTTACAGCATTTTGCGATTGACTGTATACGTTCTTACTGAGTTGGACAGTTCAAACGGTTTTCTAATAACTGTGTTCATGTCATGGAAATTCAAAGTTCGCCAACCCTACTTCTGTAGGGAGATGACACTGAAGGGAAGACCGTAGTGGTGAAGGATTTATGACACCTTCAAAATAATAACCATTCCCAGCTTGCTCGCGGCGATGGGATGTTTACCGTTTCTCTCGGCATCCTGGCCTTTGTTAAGTGCCAGTTTTAGCAGAAATGTCTCCCAGTTAGTGCGATTTTAGAAAGTGAAGTGTGATTACGGAGTGTGAGTGTAGAACTGTTTTTAAATTAAAATTGTGTTTGAAGTTATTGTGAGTGATACAGCATGTCAAATAGTAAATTGAGAAAAGTTGATAGCGAAAATAGGGCGTTCAAATCTGAGTGGGAACATGACTATTTTTTTATATTAAATAAAGACCACAAGCCACAGTGTTTAGTATGTTTTCAAGTGCTAGCAGTTTTAAAGGAGTACAACCTAAAGAGGCATTACATGACAAATCATAAACAGAAGTTCGGAAAACACTCTTGTGAATCAAGGAAAGTAGTCTGCGATCAGTTAAAGAAAAAACTTTTCCAGCAGAAATCTCTTTTTACCAATGAAACAAAACAACAAGAAGAAGCTTTGCTGGCTTCTTATTTCGTGACATATGAATTAATGAAAGCTAAAAAAGCGTTAAGTGATGGTGAATTAATTAAGAACTGTGCGATAAAGATGGCAGAAGCTTTCAATGAAAATAAGGTAGGAAACAAATTTCAAACAGTGCCCCTTTCAAAACAGACTGTTACTAGGAGGCTGGAAGATATTAGCAACCAGATATCTAATAATGTGAAAGACATTATCGCTAATTGTTCCTATTTCTCAATTGCTCTCGACGAAAGCACAGATGTTTCGGATACTAATCAGTTGCTGATATTTGTTCGTGCAATTAAGGAAGATTTTACAATTTTCGAAGAGTTGTTAAAAGTGTGCTCTTTACACAGCACAACTAGAGGTGTCGATATTTTTAACGCTGTTAAGAGTGCAGTGGAGGAATTCGGTGGTTTTGAAAAATTGTCCTCCATAGTAACAGATGGCGCTAAATCAATGACAGGGACAATAAGCGGTTTTGTTGGATTTTTAAGACAGAATCAAATTACTGTACCTACCTTGCATTGTATTATACATCAGGAGGCTCTATGTGCCAAATCAATTAAACTGTCTACCACCATGGCTACTGTCACAAAAATTACTAATTTGATCAGAGGAGGAAATCGATCACTCACTCACAGAAAATTTCTGACCCTCTTGGAAGAAATGGATTCTGCTTACGGGGACCTGCTTCTGCACACTGAAGTAAGATGGTTAAGCCGTGGGAAATGTCTGGTACGGTTCTTTGAACTCCGTCATGAAATAGCAACATTCCTAAGAGAAGAGGTTACGAATTCTGCTGAACTGCAGAATGATCTCGAAGACGTCGAATTCTTGAGAAACTTGGCCTTTCTCACTGATATCACTCAACACTTGAATGTCCTGAATCTGCAATTGCAAGGCAAGAAGCAGACAATATGTCAGATGGTTGGCTTTGTTGACAGTTTCCGTAAAAAGCTACATTTATTTAAGTCTGCATTGGACAAAAATAACCTTCTACATTTCCCTTGCTGTCGGAAACTCTCAGAAGAAGAAGAAGGCTTGGAGTTTAGGGACTACACTGAAATTATTGAAGATTTGTCTTCAGAGTTCGACCGACGATTTAACGATTTTGAAAGCTTTCGACCTGATATTTCTTTATTCAGTAATCCTATACATTGTGATATAGAATCTCAGCCAGGTCATCTGCAATTAGAGCTTTGTGAACTTCAATGTGACCCATCCTTAAACACATCTCAGGTTACTGGAATTGACTTTTGGAAACTGCTTTCACCAGAACGTTACCCACTGTTACGAAATTGGGCTCTCAAACTTTGCTCTGTTTTTGCAAGTACTTACATATGCGAGACAGCGTTTTCATCGCTGAAGCATGTAAAGTCTAAGAACAGGAACAGACTTTCAGATGTCGTGTTATCACATATTCTTCGAGTGGCAACCTCACAATTAGAAGTGGATTTTATATCATTGGTTTCCAGTTTTATGAAACCACAGTGCTCTCATTAAAACAGTGTGTATATGAGGATTTAGGTATAATCATTAGACCATAAAAACTATGATTGAAAGTCTTTTGTGCTCATCCCTGCTGAAAGAGGAATTTGTGCTGTTTTATGGTAAGTAATTGCACATTTCAAGGCATTTTATTTTTCTTTCTTAAATTATAATTGCATTTTCCCCCGGCATATATAAAACTAAACATAAGACATGATCTGGCCAGTGTTTCTTTAAGAAAAAATGCTCTGGGGGTAGAAGTGATAGAAGGCAATAAAATCGATTGGTGAAATTTTCAATATCGGCTTAATATTATTGGTGCAACGTAAAATTTAAATACATAGGTTTAAATGCACTGTTTTTATACGGGTTGTGACTGATTCAGTTTGGGGGGCAATACTCCCCGACCACTCTTCTGAAAGAAACACCGTATCTGGCCCCTGATGGTGTTCTATAAACTAAATTTGGCCCTCGAGATGTATTAGGTTGGCCAACGCTGTTCTAGACAATCGGCTCACAGATGGCGGTAGGGTTGTCAGCCTTACACACCGTCTCCCTTTATTCCCAGTAAGATTCCTCATACTCATTTCTGTTAGTGGCTGGCTCGACCTCAGGGCCATAGTGCAGCCAGAAGTATTATACGAACTGTAAAATTCAGTGACTTCATCGGGAATCGAACCTGCGACCTTCCGGCTTGTAGCACATTGCCTCAACCAACTGCGCTACCGCGTGCCCTCCCCAAATATTCATAATAAATGTTTAAAATTATTGATCTATCATAAATATTGTAGGACTATCATTAAAAGTAGTCTTAAGAGGCTCAAATGAAATTTGTATGGGCATCTTGTGGCTGGCCTTCCCCTCCAGAACTAGCTCCCCCCCCACACCCTGGAAAGACTTTTGGCATCCCTCATGATGTGTCGGTCATTCCGCGGGGTTTGATACTGGACCCGGGCATCTGCCTCTTTCAGAGAAGCCATTTCCGCCAGTCACGGTGCAAAACTGTTCTGACGCACCGTCAGCCCCACACCACGTTTCATTTCAGTAATTTCCCTGAATTAAATTAAGCGACCAACTCCATGGAGCAGGGTCCTTCTTGACTAGTGAAGCTTTCCTTAGTTAATTTAGGAAATTCCTGCAATTTTCAGAACCGGAATGTTCATCACCGTCCTCACAACATCCTGTCCTCAACCAGATGTATACAGTCTACACCGTCCCATAGATTTCCTTTAAGATCCATCTATATAATATCATCCCATCTACATCTAGAAATTAAAAACAGCCTCTTTCCTTTTGGCTTTCTACCAAAATTTTGCGTGCATTTCTTTTGACTACCATGATTTCTACATGCCTCGCCAATCCAGTCGTCTACGATATCGGAATCCTAATAATACAAATAGCGCAGCTCCGCGTTGCTTTGAATTTGGCGTTTAATTAAGATTTTCACGTGTTTCAGCGTATCTGAGGTAACGGATACACTCGGTGTTGGCGGTGAAAATGCTGAAGCATCGCTCTCAAGTTTAGCATTGCTTCATATCTGGGAAGGCCTAGGTTCAACCCATTGTTTTCTGAAATGTGATGCCGTGTAGACTGATATATCTTCACCGATATTTCGGAGGGACCTTCTGCAGCCATCTTCATGGTAGAAAACGACATACTGAACTCGTCTGTGGTGTTCTTCTCTCAGCCCCCCGTAGCCACGTGATGTACCTAGAAGCAGGCCAGGACCAGTTCCTTCCGAATCCTTTCCATTTCACCAATCGTTAGATGTTACTGATGATCAAGCCAAGCGTCGCCAAGCCTAAATCATATCACTTCAGCACAACTCACCAGAATCCCACTT